GGGGGGGGGGGGGGGGGGGGGGGGTGAAGCGTGTACGAAGGCGAAGTAGTGAGGCGCGCTCACCCACGACCCACGGACACCCCGTGCATACAGTCTGGCTGCCAGCAGCAGCACCAGAAACATCGTAACGCTCCTTCCCGATATTTTTTTGTATTTAAAAAGTCGCTTAAACTCACGGATCAGAGGAATTAATTACGCAATTGAAGACACTTCGGCTGAAATGTACTATATCACTGCTGTGCCATCGAGGGTGTTTGGGGGTTTTTAATTTGTGGAGTGGGAAGTGTTTACTTTGAGAAGTTTGTGACTCGATAATTTTTTTTTTTTGAGTGAATAAAGTTGTTTACGAATTGATGAAATAGTGGATGTGATTTTCTTACCGTTTGGGCTTGTCCAGCGGTGCTTTCCGGGGGTTATCTGTGAATTGAGGTTTTTTTATTGTCGATTGAGGGGCCGACGAAAACGTGCTGGTGAGTTTCAAGGCTGCGGGAATTCCTTGGGACGAAAAAATCGAGAAGAACGGAAGTGCCGCCTTTGGTGCAACAACACTGGAGTGATCAACATTGAAATGACGCGCGAGTGTAAACAAGCGCTGCCGAGTGGCGCGATTCGTCCGCGTGTGACGTCACGTGTCGAATGAAATTTCGCGATTTTAATCGATTGGGGATCGATTGATCGCCAGAAATAGGGGGGTGGGGGGCAGAGGTGGGGGTGGGGACAAGTGAAAATATTTGAGTGAAAGGTGACTGGTGAGGTTGAAATAGCTAACGGTGAAAGGACAAGAGATAAAAAAGATTGTCGAAAAATGATACCGAGGAAGTTAGCGGGAATCTCCGGCATCTGCGACGGTGTCGAGGCACTCCAATGACTCGTGGCCAGTGGAAATTATGGTTTAGTCACGAGTGATTAATCGACAGTCCTTCAGGAGTCAGCGGCGGCCGAGGGAAGAGAGAGTTGGAACAACAGGAATATTAGGTGGGTATGAGCGGCAAGAGGGGCAGGGGGGGGGGATATGTACGCAGCGATTAGGCGCCAGTGACGTCAGTTCGGTTGAGGGGCTCATTTGCTAAATCCCTTCTCCGACTGCACACGTCTGGTGTGACTACAACGGCGGCTCATGGCTCATTCTTCTTGTTGTTTTGGCTTTTCGGGATTTTTTTTGCAGGTTTGTAACGCGACTGCAGCTCTGCGAATGTCGTGAGTAATTTTTGTTACTG